GCCATTCTACATTAATTGCTGTATAATTTTACACTTTTCATTTCACTATATTGCACACCACACTTTTTTTTCCTTTTCTTTACTTCCACCGCTCCAAGCTTGCTCCTGTGATGGACTACAATCTCAATACAAACTAGTAGTCCATCACTGGAGCCTTTTTTTAAAATGTATTTAATTTTTTTATCCGATTAACCGATTAATCGAACTTAATAATTGTCCAACTAATCGATTTTGAAAATAATCGTTAGCTGCAGCTCTAGAAAGACCCTCTCCGCGCTGTATGTTTTTTTTTTTTGGCATTGCTACATGACCCCTTGGCAGTGCTTAGCTTCCCATGCCTTTTTTGATAGTAGCTTTTCTGTTAAGCCCTAAAAAAGGCCACAATTATTAGCAAGATTTGCCCCCTCATACACTTCAGTGGGATTCTCCGCTAAGTTAGGGTTTGCCGAATTTCAAACAGGAGTGGCTGAACCCCTTTTGAATTGAACCTAGCCAGATTTGCCTATCCCTACTAGCATTTTAAATTCCAACCAGGACACTACCTGCATGGAGTTTGCATGTTCTCCCTGTGTTTCTGTGGGTTTCCTCCCACACGCCAAAAGACATGCTGGTAGGTTAATCATTTTCTGTCTAAACTGTCCCTAGTATGAGTTTGGGATCTTAGATTGTGAATCCTTGAGGGCAGGACTGATGTGAATATAGAATATGTAAAGCACTGTGTACATTTTTGGTGCTATATAAACACCTCTAATAAATAATAAAGGGAATGATTACCAGGATTTTTGGTTTATGCTGCTCGGGTAGTCACAATTATATGGAAAACGATCCTGCAAATATACAAGAGTTAAGATACACATTAAATAAAGGAAAGAATTTACAATTGGCATGAAAAGCTCAGTTATAATACATAAAGAACCACTAGTAACAGATATCAATACATTTCTCAGAGCTCATTTGGTCACTCCATATTAAAGAAAAACAAATTGTGGCTGATTACCAAAGGCAACTTTTGGCCACAGTTCTTTGAACCCTGTTATCTAAGAAGCGCAATGGTGCTTATGATGCCATTTTTTTATTAGTTCTGTCAAGTATTCCAATAATGTTCACACATGGAGTTCAGTGGATAAAATAAAGTGGACATCATGAAAGCACTGTTATGCAGGCAATGGTTAATGCCAAAAATATACTTTATCCTGTCTGAAACATGCTATACCCATTATATAAAGATCAGATGTTAGGGAAAGATCTAAATGCTGAACCATCTTACTTTATGTGATGGACGTATGATGTGGTCAGGCACCTTCTGATACTATGGAAACTGTATAGCTTACAAAAAACTTACAGGCATGGCTAAAGCTGACATATTCTTTTTTATTTTTCTTTGCACTTGTCTCCTTTTCTCTTGTTTTGTTTCCATTGTGTCCTTTTTATCTGCTTCAGACTTTCCTATGTAATGCCGAAGGGCAGCCTCCATCTGCTTTTCCAAAAAATGATTCTTGATTCTTTGATTTTGACGTAATGTATGGTTACCTGTCTGCTGAATATTACAAGATTATTCTGTTAGTTCTTAAACATTAGACAAATACCCGTTACTTTTATACCCTGTGATGGTATTGCGTTAGGAGTATATGAATCTCTCTCCTTTCTCCCAATACATCACTTGGCATTTCAGCAGCTAATCACTAGGCCCAGTCACTGTCATGTGGGTGGGAGGGGATGAGCCGATCTGGTCACTGCTTATGGACTATCCCTGCATGGGCAAAGCACAGCCATAATAAAATTGTTATTAACCCCCTTGTGCCAGTGGGAGCCCTCCCTTTAAGTGGGTCACATCGCCATAGCTTGGTAGGAGGGACTCCTGTTCAATCATTCACTGTGATTGGCTTCACAATGATGAATTTTAGGGAAGTGGAGCTGAGAGAGTTAGAGCCCGCTGTCCGGGAAACATGATGACTGTAAGTGTTTGGGTAAAAATTTAAAGAAATACTTTGCTAGGCAATGTATATTTGTTTGATCTGGATTCGTTATTGCAAAAAGTGTGAGAGTTTAATACTACTTTAATATTTGATTTTGGAATGAATAGCATTTCTGTAAACGAAAACCACATTAACTGCTGGAACTTAATTTGTTTGATTTCATCCTGCTCCTTCGGTTGCCCCTTCTAATAGTCAATGACATCATTAACTATTAGAAAATTGAACACACATTCCGAATTTTGTTCAACAAAATTCTTCTGGTGTATGGCCAGCTTTACTCTAATTTTTCTTCCCCTCTCAGACAAACTGTATGCTCAATCTTATAATCATTTCTAAAAACCACCAAAAGATTTCCAAGTTAATTCTATGCAAATATCTTCTGTTACAGAGTAACAGACAGAGTCATTCTTTTGATTTGTCTTTGTCCTCAAGCCAATTCTTGTCGGATATAAACTTCACTGCAAACGCTGGGCTTCCTAGATACATTTCCAGTTATATAAATATGTACTCCTTTGTAGGAATCACCAAGTTATGTATGTAGGAGTGCAATTTTTTTTCCTTCAAGGATGTTTACCTTCTCAAACTTGAAGGAAGTTTGTTGATGTGATAATGAAGCAAGACACCTTGTTCCCCTATTTACTTACTTACATATATACAAATAACTATTACCTATATACTGTATATCTTATATAATATTGGTAACATTTGTCTTTACAGGTTTACTTTAAGCCGTGAAAATGTATTAATAAATAAGGAAACCCAATAAAATGCTTTGTGGATTCAATTTCAAATTTTCTAGTACAAATGCGATTGAAGCTCATTGTTTTTATGTTGTACTTACTTCATACAGTCTATATTTTTCATTTGTATCTCTTGTATTTAAAGATAAATCAAAACCAACTTCTTTTCTCTCTACATCAACATAATATTTTCTGTAATTGAAAAACAGTCATCAATTTATATGCATTATACTTTAAAGTAGCTTTATAGAAGATAATGACTAAATGAAGCAAGGCTGCTAAACTATTTGCCAGTTCACTCAATAATAAGGGCCAGCTGACCCAAAATGATATCATATTTGGGTGTATGATGGCACATTAACCCACTAGGCTACATGTTTCACAACTCTAGTGACAAGGTCTGAGCAGCTAAATTCCCAGATCTGTTGGAATGAATCATCCTACCAACATCCAACCATAAGGCCTTGTTTAATCCTGCAGTAGAATTTTATCACCCTCTAAAAAGTGATTGCTTTTCACAACTTGATTAAGAGTCAGTCTGCATTTTTTTAAGTTTCAAAGAAGATTATGCATTTCAATACTGCACCGCAACAGCAATGGTTACAATGCATGCAGTTTAAAATTTGCCACAGCTGCAATGCAAAGTAGCACAGCAGCGGCTCTTGTACAAACCTAAGGGGTCACCATGTTAGGTTTTAGCAGGCCGTAAAATCATGGATTAACCGCCTGTTTTCACCTTAAGAGCAATGTGTGCATCAAGCTTTCAAACAATTTGTAAAGCTTTCAGGAAGCTTTCAGCAGATTTATTAAAGCCATTTAAAGAAAATCTCAGTTCCAGCGTGGGGATGTTAAAACACACAGATGGGAGCACTTAATAGGAATCCAGACTGTCACATTAAACAAGCTGCTAGTAGACTTTGAAACAAACGTGAAATAGTGCTGAAGCCTGCTAGCAGCTTGTTTAAAGTGACAGTCAGTGTTTCCATTGAGACTTGTGTTTACCCTCTCCATATTGGAGCTGAGGGGTACTTTAACCCTTTCGCTACCAATGATGTGTACCACACATCATGACATTGAAAGGGTTGAAGCAAGCTCACGGCTGAAATGTTTTATTTTTATCACAAGGTTCCTGGCTTTTATGTAGAAGTAAGTCATCTAGGCGACTGTAAAGCCCCCAATCATTTTCATAGGTGGTGGAATGTCAGATACATTTTAATGTAATTGTTACTTGCTTGTACAACCGTGTTCATGTTTCTACTGTACTGGACCTGAGAATGTACCTGCATGGTTTTGTATGTTTAATTCACTTTGTTCCGTCTTGAAAAATTTATTTAGAAATATTTAAAGAAAAGACAAAAAAATAGAACAGAAAAATAATAATTATATTGATCATAATTGTATGCATAAATGCATGGGCACCATACCACCACTATGAAAGGCATAAGAGGTCTGCAATAAGTAGAGATTCTAAGCAAGTAACTGCATAATTATATTATGATTAACAATAATTAATAATAGTAGAAATAATAATAATGTTGTTGTTATTGCTATCAATAATAATGTAATTTTTTTTATTACTGTTGGTGCTAAGAATAATAATATTGCATTATTATTGACAGCAATAACTACAAATTATTATTAATGATGATGATAATAATAACAATAATAATATTGTATTATTATTATTAATACAAAATAATAGTTTTTTAAAATAATAATCATAGTTATTTTGTATCAACAATAATCATTTATTATTATTAGTATTATTGATGACGATGATTGATGATATTAATATGATGATGATTACTAATTTTTAAAATACACTAAAATTCAAAACAAAACTTAGAAAACGACAGGTGGTTGTCCAGCATCCACCCCTTCATCCAACTCACAGCCTTGCAGCCACTGCTGGAATAACGTCGCTGGAGAGGATGTTGCAGTCCATGACGGCTGAGTGTCCACTGTCCTCTGCTGGTGAATGTTGTCTTTGCTGTTATAGTAACCATTGGGTGTGGCGCACTGTGTGCACTTCCCGTATAAATAACGTGTGCTTCCCTCTTGTAACCAGTCATATCAGAGACAGAATGCATCACTCATATTATACTTCGAACTGACATAAATATAATCATAGTCTGCAGTAACTATTGCTTGACGTATCGAGCTTTATAAATACAATTGTCAGAGGACTACAACAAAATGGCTCCTGTGTTGCAGACATGCAGAGTAGCAAGTTATCTGTGGATTTTGCAGAGTGGCGTCAGTGGTATCCTGGTAACAGTCTCATGGTGAGTGATGTCATAGGAGGGCGACAAACAGTGTGAAAGTGACAGGTTGTGGCAGAGGGAAGGTCGTGGTCAGGTATGGACAGAGCTGCCGGGGTCCGGATCAGACAGCTGTGCTCCAGCCTCCGGCAGATATCAGGTAGAGAAGGACATAGCACAATGCTGCATTATGTGACCAGTTTCTCACTGTTATGTAACGATCAGGAGGTCTTCATTAAAACATTTATATTACATAACATTTCCTTTGACTCTACATGGTGCATTTCGGCAGCCAAAGTACACCAGGTGTGAAGGAGGATTTAATAGACGCCTGATGTCTTCCCTGTAGTTTCCCTGAGCAGATCAAGAACACAGTCCTCAGTCTCCTCCGATCTCAGCCAGAGCTTCCAGGTTCTGACAGCCTATAACCAGGAAGTGCTCAGAGCTGAGCTTTTCTGGGTACATTCTTCACAGGGTACATCAGGAACATGCAGGTTTAGGGCTGCCATTACAGCTATGAGCTTGTTTAACCCATTGACTGCCAAGATGTGTTGGGCACATCCTTGGTTGGGCACATCCTTGGCAGTCCAAAGGTTAAAGGAGAATTGTTTTTTTGTTTTTTTTTGTAAATGAACCCTTGCAGTGGGGCTACCAAAGATTAAGTGCTCATTTTGGTCTAGGAGTGAAAATAAAGAAGGTATACTCACCTGATTTTCCCTGCAACGGCGGTCAGTG